TGTGAGTATTGTCTTTAGTGTTGCATAATTCATGAATTCAGTCAAACTCGCTCTGTGGATATAACAATGGGGAAATCTTAATAGCCATACTACAGACAGACATTATCTTTCAGTTGTGCTATACTTCCTTCCGGCGAGTAAGAGAGAACAGCTAGCAAATACGACTGGGTGGGTCTCTTGAACCAATTCAGCTTCTGTGCCGGTGTCGCTGGCGCCGGTGTGTAGTTCATATGAAAAATTGGAGTCTGGATATTCGAGTTGCGGTAATTTTGTTAGTTTTTCTTTCGATATTTTGAAAGCATTGTTATTCTCGTCCCACGTCCAAACACCTTCTTTCTTTAACAATTGGTATTCTTGAATGGCTATCACAGAAATATTTGCAGAAAAAAAAAACGATGATAGAAGTTACAAATGTCTAAAAACATCTGTAGTTCCTAAATCGTAGTAGGCTTGGGCAAGTCTTGGAAGGATCTAGTCCGATACCATTGCCGGACACCTAATACCCGAAAGACTCGGCTTCTGTGACTAATAAATGGCACTTCTTGATACTGATCTTGAGGTTTCATTTCACTAGTGTATTTAGAACCTTTGAGATGTGTACCATATATTCTGTTTCGGTTGCGTAATAAGTCAACTCATCGTCAATGCAAATGGTAAGGAAATCCAGCTAATAAAAGATTTGCTGCATGAGGCATTGTGAAATGGCTGGGCAGTTAGTAACGCCTAGTGGCATTACGAGGAATTCGAAAAGACTCTTCTCCGTGGAAGATGTAGTATTACATATGTCGCCTGGACTCATGGGAATCTGCCAATAACCGGACTTGAGATCTAGTGTCAAGAAATATTTGGCATAAATCAACTTGTGTAATAGATCATCGATATGTGGTAAGGGAAACTAGTCTTTGCGGGTCACATCATTTAGTGTTTTATAATTGATGCAGCATCGTAAAGTATTGCCTGGCTTTGGTACCAATATCAGCGGGGAGCTCCATAAACTATTACTTGGCCGAATAACCCCTTTCACCAACGTCATCTCCATTTCTGTGCTCAGGGCTCAGGGCTCAGTTCTCGGCTGTTTACCGCCTGTACTGCGGGGAATTAATAGGAAGACTACTACCAGATAGATACTGACTACACACTAGTGCATCTGTGATGGCTTGTTCTGGGCTACCATCGTACAGCTCAGGGTATTTTTTTGCAATGCACTTGGTTTTCAGGGAAGAGTAAGAATCGTGTTAGTACTGTTGCTACTGACTGAGCTTCCGTCTTTTCTCGTATCTAGAACCTTATTCACAGTGTCGAGTACCTTTCCATGCTGCTTTGGTTTTTTTGGTATTGAGGAACTAGTCCTGATATTTATTGTGTGTTAAGAAAGAAATACAAATGTTTTTGGAGTTTTCTGAGGGGCTTTAAGATTTAGAAATAAAAGCCCAAGGAAAGTGTATTTTAAATCCAAGTCAGAGAAGATGTGCGAAACAATGGTGTCTATTTTAGAATTAATCGAGGAGATGTGAAAAGACCGGATGTCGAAGATAAAGCTTCAGTGAGTGCACCACAGGGCCAAGATGCTGCTGCTAATAATTTGACATGGCCGAACATGGAAGACAGGTAGTGGGTGGTCAAGGATTTCCAGAGAGAAGATTGTGGGATGAATATCAAATGTCAATGGGGACAGTCCAAATTATTATTATTTTCAGGGTAGCTTCCCATACTGTCCACTTCTGTGGGCACTGGTAAAGGACACGAGAGAGAGTGTCTACCTCAGACAAGCAAATGGGACACTTTTTAGTGACAAATATGGTCGGAGCACAGTTGTATAGGGTGTACTGACACGACAAGGAGTTGAGTATAGAGCGATAGCATATGTTGCGGGAGGTGTAATGGGAGTGGAAAGCCCCAAAATGAACGCCATTGTTTAGCTTGCAAAGGGAGGAGTAAAACTAATAGCTTGTGATTTATTATCAAAGGATTAGCTAGCAGTTGCAACTCATGGTGGTCATTGGGAGGCAATGTAGCGCGCCAAAGGAAAGGCGTGAGCTCAGTAGCTGTATTTTCTATATCCTGAAACAGCCTATCTATCAGACATGACGATTTAGGCCGTTGAACTTGCGTTTGGGAGGGGATAGCTTAGAGGCTCTAATCAAACATAAATGCACCAGAAGCATTAATGCGCTTCCAACCAGAGGTGTTAGGTGCAGAAGAAGCTGTGTAGGTTACACCATCCAGCAGCTTCAGAGAAAGACAAGTGGTGCAGCTCAAAGTGAGAAGAGAAAAGTTTCATGTGATAGAGTCCATAGCACACATGAGAGTGGAAAGTGCACCATTCTTTGTCCTTAAAGATGTGATTCGCAGTATTGCAACCAACAAATGAAGGCGAGGGTCCCCAAAGGACTTGTGTGGATCAAGAAAGTGCTTTATTCAAGGGGTGACAAAGGATGCCGATGTTTAGTTGTCAAGAATAGGTTGTAGCTATTGCATAGTCAGTACTTTCTGTTGAATCTGCGAGTCCAACACGCCTAAGCCTTTTTGCAGTTTCTGAAAACATAGAAGACAGGATCGCCATAGAGAGCATATTCCGCCGGAGGAAACGGCCTAAAATGGAACAGAGTTTGTCGAAGAACCTTTTGAGGACAGTTTTTATTCAAAGAGCATGCCAAACACAGGAGAGAATCAACGTGTTCACGACAGTAGCTCGACATATGACCGAGCGTAATCACTACAGGCGCATGCCACAAGACGATTTGACTGTATTCGGAAGTGAGGTACAGAATTGATCTCTTTGTGTGACAAATGATATCAATGGAAACCCTAAGTACGTGAGAGAAGCGGGATAAGTACGATCGTGTCATAAGGTAATAAGCTTTTGCCGTAGGTGTGTGCGCCACTCTGATAGTGAGGCACCGGACAAGGAAAAGGCTTGTGTCTTGTGTATGTTAATTCGTGCATTTGAAATTCTTAAGTATCCAGATGTCTGTGTAAAGTGCCAAGGTCAGAAGGTGACTTGGGAAATATGAGAGTGTCATCCGCATAAGCCAAGTATTTGACTGGTGGTGGTGAGGGCTGGTCAGTGTGGTCGTCGGTGGATAGACCAAATCCTGGAAGAGAGCTATCGGCGGCTAGTAGGCGGAGCAAAGGTTCGAAAACAAAGTTGAACAGAACAGGGGACAGCATATCACATTTTTGAGAACTCGATTTTGTAGAATTGACGCCAACAAAAAACCGTTGACATTGATTGACATACTAGTGGATAAAAGCGATTATGGGATACAGTGCACTATCGTGTCTAGGAACCAGAACTTTTAAAGAACTAGTCTCGAATACTCGGGGCGTACACGATCATATGATATTTCTTGGTCAACCATCAGACCAATTGAGGTATCAGAAGTGTTTTGGGTGTATTCTATAGCCATGCGAGTCATGATCTCACTGTCAACTATGAACTGTCCCTTCACAAAACCAGTTTTGTAGTGATTGAAAGAGTTTGAAGTATGGATAATTTGGGCATTCAGTATACGAGTAAACACTTTTGCGTTAGTGTTGATCAGTGCGATGGGCCACCAATTTTTTAGGACTGGAGAGGTCCCCTTTCTTTGGGAGGAGTGACAAGTAGGTGGAGCTACAAGAAGATTGAGAGGCTTCTTTGTCGAGAGCGCCATTATGAATTCTCGTTAGAAGTGTGACATACCCGTCTTCACGGAATAAGAGAGAAAGAATCTCGTAGGGCATACCTTCTGGGCCAGGGCTGTGATGGTGGGGGTGGCAGTTGACTGCTTCCCATATACTATTAAATGTTAGTGGAAGTGTTATGGAGGATTGAGTGGCTTCACTCAAGAATTGCTTAGAAGAGACATAGCTGAGTAGATCTCCAACGGATGAATCGTTAATTGGGTTGATACTGTACTGCTTTTCATAAAAGTGCGTGGCCGCATCTGTCATGGTAGCGGGCGTGGTGCACAAGGCTTCTTAGACGGGGTGACGCAAAAAATGTATAACTTTTTAATAGCCTTTGCCAAAACAGTTCTTTTCAAATACCCGGGTGACCGTTCATCGTTTTCTCTCCAGTATTATTGGGCCTTTTGGTCAGTATTTCGACAGTTTCTTGTTGAATAATGAACAATTGGCGTTACACAATAGAAAGCTAGGTGTTGCGGATATTTTCTATTGTAAATTTACGCATTAGATGGTTACGTTTGCTTTGAAGGGCCTTCTCTTGTTGAGTCCGCCAAGCTGTGGAACCACAAGAATGTTTCTTAGCGATCCGTCGGACTTGTGGTATAAACATCACAATTGAGTGAATAACAGACTCTGCAACCAAACACTGGTTCCTTCTTGCTAATAAACTTGACAAGCTAACAATCTCCAGAGCTATTACATACCAAGCATACGTACACTACACACTTATACAGTGTAAACAAACCAAAAATTACACGACAAGGATTTCAATTACAAGCGATTCGAATAGTAATAGATATAAACAATATTGTTTTGATTCTCTTTAATAAATAACACTTTCAAAGTATCTATCTTTCCCAGTATTGAGATACTAACTCATAAACAATCTCGAATACCTCGTTTTTCACTATGAACTGTATCTTCTTTAAGAAGATGACCAGTAGATTGAACATCACACCTATTGCACATGGTTCCAGCTCAAAGGCTTCCATCATTAATACTCCCCAGATGAAAACCATTATCCCAGCTACTTCCAACAGCAAGGATTGAAACGTCAAAGCAAACATTACGAAGCCACTCATCTCTAATACCTCCATTGGCAATGCGTCCATCAACAACTTTCCCACCAGCAACGCCTCCATTAAAAACGTTTCTTTTGAAAATACCTGCGAGTTTGAAGGTACTATCTTCAGCGTCTCCATCATCAGGGAATCAGTCATCAAACCTCCCGTCGCCGACACATACCTTGACAACTCAGAAGACTACTTTAAGAACATGGGCATTATTCAGGACAGCAAAATTCTAGAGGAACGGGTTAGGTATAAGTTGTGTGAGGACAAAAACGAAACTGAATCTTTCCACGATCCTTTTTTCTTTTAGTATTTTATTGACCTTTTGGCATGCTCTGGGTGCATATTTTAAAATGCCATCAAAGTGGACTTGGTGGATTTGAGAGAAAATAAGGATCTGAAAGAAAAGATAAAGGCTGAAAGTATAAAACATGAGCATTTGGTGAATAGGGAAGAGACAAGAGTGTTAAACTAGTGCTGATCTGTGTTTCTCGATTACAATAGATGTCTTCTGTGCAAATACGCCAGCAAGAAAAGGTTGCTCATCAAAGATAAACTTCCTGTGCGCACTCGATATGGTCTTGGCAGTGGTAACAGAAACGATTATTTGAAGTTTTGATCAGAGGAACGTGGGGTGAAAGTTCCACGGGTCAGGAGAGGGTGGGCATCATCAAGGTTCCAGAATGGACAAAAGCGAGAGAGGAAAACATTCCACAATTGAAGCTTGACAGAATATCAAAAGAAGAAGTAATACTGATCTTCGGTGGCGGCATTGCACAAAATGCAGGAAGAGCTAGGGAAGCGAAGGGGCATGAAACGTTGCAAACGCTGTTTTGTTGCGGTTCGATCCCAGAGCAATGTTTACCAGACAGTTAGACAGTGGTGAGGAATAAGGACGGACCAAAATTTGTGCCATTGGATGGATAAGCTGGGCGGTGGTTTTGATGTTGGGCGAATATGATGACTTAGAGACCCAGTGCAGGCTTCACCAAACCTAGCATTGTCTGGTTACACCAAGGACAGAAGAAAGGAAACACCGGGAGAGGTGGGGTCGGAGGAGTCACAGGGTCGAAGGCAAGAAATAAACCAAGGGCAGTGTACCATACTTTCAGAATCAAGCTGCCAAAAGAATTGGCCAATATAGTTACATGCCCAAGAGAAGGTACTCCGAGATTTGCGGGCGAAACAGCTATCTTCTTTAATCGAAAATGCATCAAACACAAGGAGTGTTTTGAGGCTCAAATAATATTCAACAAAAGGTGGTAAATACATACATAGAAAAGCCAGAGGAAAGTGTTGAACTACCGGTGGTTGCAGGCGTAGGTTGGATGGGAGTAAGGCTGAAAGAAGTGAGGTATTAGCGCGATGCGGTGGAAGAAGTGAAGTCGGGAAAGTTGCAGCACTACAAAGGAACAGAAGTGCAATACTAGCAATAAGAGCCATAAAGTGTAATGAAATGAGAAATTTAAGGAAAGGTAACAGAAATGAGGGAGACGAAAAAGAGTGATAGTGCAATATAGGAAGAATCCATCATAATCGAAGAGCTCTTTGTTGATAATCGAAGTCAAGCAGATCCAAACCCCCATATTTGCGTGGCAGACAGAGAAACGGCCAACCCGAGCTACCAAAACCCAGGCGCAGCAACGAGCAAATATTGGTGCGAATGGCACCAAAGAAAGATAGTGGGGCAGGAGTCGCATATAGTACATGAAATACCGAGCTGAGAAAAAGTGAGTTCGTCACAATACCTTTACCACGTACGGACAAGCATCTTTGAGATAGTAGCGTGCAACGGTCACCAAGCTGGACCAGTAAAGCAGCACCGAAAGCTTCAATCTGGGAGATATATGAGCCCAATGAAAAGCCTAGGTAACTGATTTTAGTGGTGGAGTGGCGGTCATGGAGACTGTGGATATCAGCAACATCTAGTACAGTGCCCCAATCCGGATAGAACTGTCAAGACATAGCAACAGTAACCATCTTGTGGAGACTGACTTTCGTATTATATGCTAAGCCAAATGTATGCAAAGGGTTTAGTAAAGTATTATTATCGGCGGGCAAAGAGAGAAAGACAAGAAGTACATCGGAATAGGCGAGAAATCTGAGTAGAGATAGTGAGAGAGAGGGACAGGACGATGAGAGAGAGGGCGGAATCAGAAACTGGAAATTACGGATTGATAGAGAAGCAAGAATGGATCTAAGCAAAGGTTTGAAGGCCGAGTTAACAAGTAATGGAGAAAGGGGATCACCCTGACGTAGTCCCTGGCTCAGTAAAAAAGAAGAGGATATATGGCCATCCACATTTATGTAAATATGAGTAGAGAAAAAAAAAATACTGCATACAGAGTCGACGAGCATGGTGGGAAATCTGGTCCTGGCCATGACCAGACAAAGGTAGCCAGGGTAGACACGGTCATAAGCCTTCTCCTGATCCAAAAGAAGGGTCAACACAAAAGTCATTGGTTAGTTGGGTATGCGACATAGCGAGTCGTGTTAGCAAGTCATTGTCTGCGATCAAATTCTCCGCCATAAATCCAGTTTGAAAAGGTATACTAAGTGGGCCAATACCATAGCATAAATGGAAAGTAAGCATTTTGGTGAGCAACTTGGCGTCACATTTTATCAAAGAGATTTATTGTTAGTTGTGGAAGGAGGTCGTGTCACCTGCCTTGGGGAGGAGAACGAGTGTGGTTTCCAGCCAGGAGGAAAGGAAAGCACTACGTATAGAGTCGTTATAAACCTGAACTGCAATTGTTTTGATGGTCGTATGAGAGAAAAGCCGAGCCCACAATGGGTATGGCAAACCATATATGCCGCGGCCTGAATTGGTGGGGGGTAGCTTTCAGTAAAGCAAGGATTTCGTCCAGTGTTACATCAGCAATTAAATTAGTGGATTAATCTGCAGGGAAACGAGTAGAGTATGGGAAGTTGTCGATGAGTGTGTGTGTAGCGGAATAATCGATGGGTTCCGATGAGTAAAGAGATTGGTAGAAAGAACGAGTATGGCCAAATAAATCAGCAGAGGGAGTGTAAGTCACTCCAGTAACAGGATCGACAAGTGAAGAAATACTTTTGGCGGCGTCTCACTGTTTGAGTACCCTAAAAAA